CAAATGATATAAGGAGCCCATATAAGCACATATGAAAGAAAAAAAAAACAGAATTTTATAGTATGTGTACAGTGCAACAGCAAAGAGCTTTTTTTAAATTTTAGAGAAGTTAAGTTGCGATACCGAACTGGAACACATGGAGATGACAAAAAAAACCCCTAAACCAACCGCCTGCCTACTGCATATATCTACTACAGTACACTGATCCATTCAGTATAACTAAACACAGCAACATAAACATGACAAATCAAAACATTCGTGAATGTGTGTGAAAACAACGTGAATGTACGGAAATGTCTGTGTCTGTGCATAAATACAATGTGCGATCAGTGCGTCAAGAGCACTCATACACGCATTCGTATAACGGACTCACGCGTGCTTACTGTACGACTCCTGTACCCACCGCAATCGTCTTTACCTTGATTTGCATCTCATCTGGCCATACAGCGGTGGGATGTGTTGACAATCCGTTCAGTCTGTACTTCACACAGCAAAATGATCTGATCGCAAGCAGAGAAGCAAAATTGGGTTAAAGGGTTAGAATAGAAATTGTGCTTCAGTAATTTTGCGTTAATTGCATTTATTTTAACGCGTTAACATTGACAGCCCTAATTTTTTATATATTTTATATTATTTATATTTTATAATACAGTACATAATATAGTAATATTTGTGGGTATATGTATATATAAAAATGAAACTAATATAATATTATATTATAATTATCTTCTTTTGCATTAATTAATTATTTATTAATTGATTTCAAACTGTCTAACTAGTGATTTTTAGGCACTGTACAATGTAGCAAAGCTAGTAACCATTCTTAAGGAAAATTATTATAAAGTTTTGATGAGAAAATGTACCTTTTTTATACACTGTGTCCTTTGGTTGGCTAAGAGTCTGGATGGGGGTCCCTGGGTCTGGAACAGCTGAACACCCATGGTTTAGTGAATTCGTCATGCTCTTTACTTGATGGAAAACAACAAAACCTCTCCTGCCATTTCATGCATCGTGTTTTCCACTTCAGCGCCTCTTCCAGGAAATCTTTGATTGCTAGCTGGAGAAATGTTCATGAAATCTGCTTGACTGTAATGGAACAGTAATAATTACAGTTGGTGGAACATGCATTGGTGGCGGTTTGGACTGGAGGGGGTCTTTCTCTTGCAGACTGATTTAATTAACTGTGCAAAGGGACCTGCGGCTTGAAGCTGATTGGGATCCCGACCTGCCTGAGAATGAAGATGTCACAGCGCCCCATTCATCTAGTGCTGTCTGTCACTCTCTCCGCTAAGATGGACGTCTGCTGTAACGGACCAATACTGTGCAGAATGAGGGTGCGGTTTGGAGAGCCTTAATTGAATTAATTTTATACTCTACTGAAAAAGTGTGTGTGTTCATTTAATCAACGGATGGTTAATACAAGCAATTGTAAAAAGTAGTAATCATCCATTACTAAATAGTGTAATGTAATTAAAATAAGAGTTAAAGTCATTCAGAAACAATCACCATCTCCGATAGGGGTCATTTATATGTATTTATATGCATTAGTCAGTGAATAAAACTATCTAAAAATAGTATTCACATATTTCTGCACCCACTGTAAAGGTTTCTGTTTGTGCGCTTTGGTTAGGCATGTTTCCTGCTTAACAGTGACTTTTTATAGCTGCCTTTTTAATTTGTTTGACAAAAACTTTCCTTAAGCCTTTATCTGACTGAGTTCTTCTGTGCTCGAAATCACTCACAAATCTTTTGTCAGTTAATAATCTCTATTCAGTTTTCCCAAAATGTTAGTTGTTTTTAAGCCTTTTGCAAGATGTTGCACTATTAGATGCTTTTCGGCTTCAGAAATATCTTTCTTCTTCCGCATATTGCATGAGAACTGTAACTTGCTTAATAATGTGGAACAACCTCTTTAAGTAGGTTTTCCATTACCCTAAGAAGACCTGGCAAACTATTTAACAAACCTGTCTGAGACTGATACCAGTTATCTACAAAGATATGAGAAATAAAACAAATAAACACTTTATATGAAAAACCAAAATATGAATGTTCATTTGACTGAAATCCTACTGATATGTCACTTGCATAATCATTTGGAACACAGTGTATATATAAAAAATGATAAATATATATATATATTAGATAGATAGATAGATAGATAGATGATAGACAGATTTTGCATGTTCTCATTGTCTGAAAATGCATTGAGGACACCAGCAAAGAATCTTGCACCACTAAGCAAAGATTACTTGCACATGCAAGATAAACTAATCTGCAATATTAGTATAGATGGGTGACATATTCCTGAATTTTTAAGTTGAAATGATCATGAAGTGCAATTTTTACCTCACCTTTTAATGTCCACTTTGATGGTCTGACACTAGGGGGCAGTGTCTCTCTCCCAACTCATAATGAATGTGATGTTTGTGAGAGTCCTTCTGTATACAGAATACTGTTTTGCAGATATGAGTCTCCAGAAAAACCCATGAGATCCGTTGCTCTGATGTGATTCTGCATTCAGGGACATTGCAATGAAAACTAGTCTTCTTGAAGATTGATATTCTATTTTCTCTTGAGAGGGTTGGGTCAGGCGAAAATAAAGTTGTGTAACAGCAAAAAAAAAAAAAATTCCACGTGGTTGGTCTGCATCTGTGAAATCCTCACAAATGAAAAGCCAACATTCTTATAAAGTATTTAAATCTGCCTGTAAATAATTACATGATTCATGCTGGAATTGTCTTGTGTACCTTTAATAAAACTAGTGAATTCCAGTACCTGAATAAAACGAATGGCAACACCATAAGTGTAAATGTGAGCAGACTGTGGAAGAACAGCCCAAAGGAAAATGTGACACACGATCTTCAAGGAAGAGCACGTTCACGAGCCAGAGGATGTTCAGCGACACTGCTTGCTTCAGCAGTTGACCTCTGAGCTTGAGCCATCAGGCCATCAAATGTCTCCTGCTGACAAACACTACAAACACTCATCTGACCTGCTGTAAACTTTCATTCAGAAGTGACATTAAAGGCATTCTTTCAAATAAATCACAAAATTGTTATGCAGAACAACTGTTTTCAACATTGATAATACAGTTTTTCTCAATTGCTTTGGCTCAATTCTCGAATGAAACTTTTTTTTCCCGAAACAATAAGTTCAGATCTCTGAACAATTAGCTTCTTGTTCACATCAGATTGGAATTTTTTATTGATTTGAGCAAATTGCAAATGCTTTGGCACATGTGTGCAAACAGTAAGTACATCAGGAAATCAGCATATTAGAATGATTTCTGAAGGATCATGTGACCCTGAAGACTGGAGTAATGATGCTGAAAATTCAGCTTTGCGTCACAGGAATAAATTACATTTGAAAATATATTCAATAGAAAACAATTTTAAGTTGTAATAATATTTCACAATATTACTGTTTTACTGAATGTCTTGATCAAATAAATGCACCCTCTGTGAGCATAAGAGACTTCTGTCAAACACATTTTTCAAATCATACTGACCCCAAGTTTTTAAACAGCAGTTTGGATTGATTATAGTGGTATCATAACACATAAATTCACCTTTTAAAAGCTGTTTAACTGCATTCAGCGCTGTTTTGTCATATTCAAACAGAAGAATATGAATACACATCTTAAAATCTCTTATTATAACACAAGGTGATGTAATACGTTGTAATCATAAGATTGCCCGATAATGAGCTCCATACTGGGAATCTGGTGTCTTTTTTTAACTTGCCATTTTCTAGAGCATGTTCTTGTGCTTTTTGCTCTCTCGTCATACTCTCTCCCCATCTAGGGACAAATGTGGCATGTCCTACGTACCTCAGGGTCTGTCAGTACAATTCACCATGTGCTCTCACACTAAACATTCATCTCCACATTAAAGGAGCAGTTCACCCAAAAAATGAAATTTCTGTCATTTACGCACCCCCACAACATTTTGAACCCATATGAACCTCTTTCCTTTGTATAACACAAGAATATCCTTAGAATATTTTCAACAAATCATTCTAGAAGTGGAGATTTGACTCAAAAGAACAATTAGTGCATGAATCATAGCCACTTTTCTCATTAAGGACAAGA